ATTTTATATTTAAGTCTTTGATCCATTTTGAGTTAGTTTTTGTGCATGGTGTGAGGTATGGGTCTTGTTTCAGTTTTTTGCAGATGGATATCCACTTATGTGAACAGCATTTGTTAAAGACTGTCTTTTCCACAATTAATGGACATTGGCCTTTGTCAAATATCAGTTGCTCATAGGTGGATGAATTTACGTCTGGATTCTCAATTCTGTTCCATTGGTCTATGTATCTTTTGTTGTACCAATACCAGGCTGTTTTGACTACTGTGGCAGTATAATAGGTTCTAAAATCAGGTAGTGGGAGGCCTCTCACTTTGTTCTTCCTCTTGAGTAATGCTTTACTTATCTGGGGCCTCTTCCCTTTCCATATGAAGTTGATTCGTTTCTCCATCTCATTAAAAAATGCTGTTGGAATTTGAATCAGGATTGCATTGTATCTGTAGATCGCTTTGGGTAGAACTGACATTTTCACAATGTTGAATCTTCCTATCCGTGAGCAAGGTGTGTTTTTCCACTCATGCTGGTCTCTTTTGGTTTCTTGTAGTGCGTCTTGTAGTTCTCATTGTATACGTCTTTTACGTCTCTGGTTAGATTTATTTCTAAGTATTTTGTCTTCTCAGGGACTGTTGTAAATGGTATTGATTTGGTGATTTCCTCTTGGAAGTTCTCTCCGTTGGTGTAGAGGAATCCAACTGATTTTTGTGTGTTTATCTTGTATCCTGATACTTTGCTGAAATCTTCTATTAGTTCCAGTAGTTTTCTTGAGGATTCTTTGGGGTTTTCTGTGTATAAGATATATCATCTGCAAATAGAGATACTTTTACTTCTTCCTTACCAGTTTGGATGCCCTTTATTTCTTTTTCTAGCCTAATTGCTCTGGCTAGGAGCTCCAGCACAATGTTGAATAAGAGGGGTGATAAAGGGCATCCATGTCTGGTTCCTGTTCTCAAAGGGAACGATTTCAAACTCTCTCCATCTAGGATGATGTTGGCTGTTGGCTTTGTATAAATGCCCTTAATTATGTTGAGGAATTTCCCTTCTATTCTTATTTTGTTGAGAGTTTTTATCACGAAAGGGTAGAATATTGGCCATTTTGGATACTTCACTTTAAAAGTGACTTTAAAATAATTAAAATGTTTCTAATGAGTTCTTAAATATCATCAGTCTCTTATTTCTTCCTTTTAGTTTTGAATTTTTTCCTTTAAGTTTTCCTTCATTTATAACTTTGAGCACTCTAAGTATATTTAAAGTCTTTGTTAAACCATTGAATAACATTACTTTCATCTCAATTGTATTCATGATATGTGTCTGAGTTATCTAGTGCTGCTATAACAGAAATACCATAGATGGATGGCTTCAACAAACAGAAGTTTATTCTCTCACAGTCCAGTAGGCTAGAAGTCCAAATTCACAGTGCTAGCTCCAGCAGAAGGTTTTCTCTCTCTGTTGGCTCTGGGGGAAGGTCTTTGACATCAGTCTTCCCTTGTTCTAGGGGCTTCTCAGCACAGGGATCCCAGGTCCAAAAGACGTGCATGCTGCTGGTTCTTCTTGCTTGGTAGTTATGAGGTCCCCCGTCTGTCTGCTCACTTCTCTGGTTATATATCTGAAAAGAGATTGACTTAAAACACAACCTAATCTTGTAGATTGAGTCTTGCCTCATTAGCATAACTGCCACTAATCCCGCATCATTAACATCATAGAGGCAGGATTTACAACACACAGGAAAATCACATCAGATGACAAAATGGTGGATAATCACACAATACTGGGAATCATGGACCAGTCAAGCTGACACATATTTTGGGAGGACACAATTCAATCCAAGACAGTATGACTATTGATTTTGCTGACTGTCTACCTTAGTATTCAATTTCTTTGTGGGTTTTGGAACTTTAGTGTGCAGGCATTTTTACTTATGTATGTATTTATTGCTTTATGGTCTCTCTCTCTCATCTCTCCTTCTTCCATGTCTAAGTGCCTCCATATGACTGCTTCAGAACCAGAGAGTCTTACAAGAATCAGGTCTTACAGTGGCTTTTTGAAATTTCTATCCTATGGAAAATTGCAAATATATCTGTAACTGAGCCAGCATGTAGATGATTTGGTTCTTGGTTGTCCCCTACCCAAGCTCAAGGTTTCTTGCAAATCAGGAAGCACATCAACATACATTGTTGTTTGGCCCCTTATTTTACAGTTAAAAGCAGCGAGGTTACTTCTGCCTCCCAGCCTTGACTCTGCTCAGTTAGAGCACTGAGGCACTGCTATCAGGACCTGAACTCATGGCTGCCTTTGCCTGCTTCAGGCCTAAGGCCCAGCAGACCCATCTTTTGGCTCTGTTCATCGCTTTGTTTCCTGTTCCATTTCTGGTTCAAGCAGATGTTTAACTTTGTTTTTGAACCCAGCCATGTTACTATGATGCTCTTTTGCTACATATTTTATCATTGTTCTAAGTTTGGAGCAGAGTGGATCTATCAAATTGTGCACTCCCTGCACCCTGTGGACTGAAACCTGTTGCTATCAAGTCGATTCCGACTCATAGCAACCCCATAGGACAGAGTAGAACTGCCCCATAGAGTTTCCAAGGAGCTGCTGGTGGATTCGAACGGACGACCTTTTGGTTAGCAGCCAAATGCTTACCCACTGTGCTTTGGACTGAAAGTTTATCTAAAGTCCTAGTTTTGGTTTTATCTGATGCTTTTTAATGACCAGAGAAGTCAGTATTGGTGGCAGAAGTTGACTCAGATTCCAAAAACAAGGATTTGGCTCTCTGTACTTTGGAACTTTGGATATCTAGCCGTTTCCAGAAATGAGCCTGGTAAAATAAGAATAGAATTTTATTGTCATTTGGGTAAATCATACCAAAACCCTTTGAAATATTTTATTGCCCTTGATTCAATAAAATTCCTGTCATGAGTTTTTCCTTCAAATTATTTTGCATGTATTTTTTAAAAATAGAATCTTCTGAATTTAACTTGTGTTTATATATCTTTTATGCTGTCACATTTTTTCCACCAGTTTCGTCACTTGTCCCTGCCCATCACCTCTATAACTGTGGAAGAGGACAGCAATAAAGCTAGACAGGTATGTGGGTGCCAAGGAAGGGACACTCCACCCTGGTCTCACACTCCAGGTGAGTGGAATGTAACTCATGTGGGGTCTCCTCAGGCTGAGACCCTCCTTCTCCAGTCCCTGGGCCTGGGAGTCTACACTTTTGTGTGGTGGAGCAATGCAGTCTAGCAGTTAAGAGCACAGGCTTTCAATTCTGAGTTCAAAGCTTGTTTCCACTGCTTCTAGGATATATGACTTAAGCAAAGTTCCTAACTTCACCACCCTTCTGAGTTCTCATCTGTAAAATAAAGATAACATTAGTGTCCATTTTATGGATGTGTTAGATTAGTTGCAGGGCTTGTAGTACATTAAGTCAGTAAGTTTCCTTCTAAGTCAGCTGCGACTTGCCTCACCTTTCCATCTCACACTCACTCATAGCTCAGAATAAAAAAGACACATATCTTTTTGTACTATGTCAATACCATATCATTTAGCACTTGTCATGGGCTTTCTCTAACTCTTTTCTAATTGTTTTGACTTTCTGGGTCAGAGGCCATATTGAACTTCTTTAGTACCTCTCCTAGGATCAATCCTTTTTGTGTGTGTTAGAATGTGTGTGTGCATGCATGCACACACGTATGCAAAGTCTAGAGCCAGACAGCCTGGTTTCCAACCCTGACTCCTACTATCTTTGTGATTTACATCTAGTTAGCTAACCTGTCCGTGCCTGAGTCATCCCATCAATGGTATGGGGATAATAGTGGTACATACCTCATAGT